GTGTGCCTTGGCAGTCTAATAACTGCCCTTCTGTTGGCTAGTGCTCCAACACATTGAGGGTGAAACGAGGTGCTGCTGCTCAGGCATTATGAGGAAAAATGAAGCACTTTTTGAACATCAAAGCATGTCAACATGTCCCAGTAAAGACACACACAAAAAAGACACTCTTTAAGTATAAAATCTGAGTACTAGACAGCTGCTGGAGGAATCTAAAGTGACCTCTTCAGATAGAGCACTATGTGCTGATTACAATTATGTAAGATGGTTATCACACAGCCGTTATCTTCATGCACTGCAGCGTATAAGAAAAGGAAGGCGGAGTAGGAAAACAAACCGTAGCGCTGTCCCTCATTGGGCCTTGTTATCGTCTGGGAGCTGCTTTCAGTGTTTACGCCATCAGCAGCCGGCTGCGCTGGGCCTGGACGAGGGACAGCGGTTACATAACAGTGTGGCTCCGAGGGGACACGGAGGGTGCGTTACACGTGGGTCAAGATATGAGTTGGGTCTTGGTTTCCTCCTCATCAAACATGTTGTGTTCTCCTCGGCGAGGGAGGGAAAAGAACACACAGCGGCTGCCAGATCACATACTGTTCCCTGGCCTCTGGAGATGCCTCCCTGACCGTATTTGAACTAGTTATTAGCCTTTAAGCGCTTAGTCTCGTCCTCATACATCATTTGTTGAGTATGTGTGTTTTCACAGAGACACAGTGTACCGTCAGTATGTATCTGGCTCCCTGAATTTTTTTAGGGATGCTATTTAGGAGCTCAGAAATGCAAACACAAACCGCAGAGGTAGAGGTCCTGAAATGGAAAGTTCCCAAGAATTCTGGCATGTTCTCGCCCTTGTGACCTCTAGAGAGAGGGGGGGGGAGGGGATTGTTTATGATCTCTTATTGGCATCCACTGTTATGTTGTCTTTTTCAGAGGAACAACACAACTATTTATGCTCCATTCATCCTGTTTTGCTGCAGTTTTCTGCGAGGACAGAAAGTGTAATCATTCGTTGATATTTTGAGTTATTTGATTGAAATAACATTTTAACAAAATGCCGAAGCGCTGATCTGAAAGCAGCCCCGGAGTTTCACATGTTTGTTTGAGCAGCAACAGATCTCAGACATTTTACAATGAAGAATTTGCCCTTTAAACCCAGTTACATAACAGTGTGTACTGATGCTTGTTTTTAATCACAATACTAGAAGCTCTCTGACACACAGAGACGTTGTGTTCTGGACATAAGGCAGCAGGAAGTAGCAGCAGCAGCAGCAGCAGCAGCAGCAGCAGCAGCAGCAGCAGCAGCAGCAGCAGCAGCAGCAGCAAATAATAATAATAATAATAATAATAATAACAACAATGATTTTGATTAATAATAATAGAACCAGTGATCCCAAAATACTTTATAAAAGGCAAAAAAATAATTGTAAAACTACTAAAGTCTATTATCAGGTAACAAGAATTAAACAAGAGAGACGCTAATGACATAAAACAAAAAAAGATCGAAAATTGCTCATCGGAAGTCAGCAAGACCCCACCCCCCTCTGGCTCCAGACCCTCCACGTCCAGCTGTGACAACGACTGCCTCTCTGCTCCTGCTAGGCTGTGTGTACAGACCTGTGTGTATGCATGACAACAGTCTTTAGAACATGCATACTAGCATGTCCTTGTAAACAACATCCTGTCCCTACAGAGCACGCAAAACACCCTATCCGAGTCAAATGTTGTTTTATATAGCCCAATATCACAAAACCTAATAAAAGTACAATGTAGACATTCCAATTGACAAACATTATAAATGTAAAGTAAAGTAAAATACATTTAAGGGCCCATGAGGAGGTTTAAGGTAACCCTTTTAAAGGAAATGATTAAGGCTACTCTTAAATGTGGAGGTGTCGTACACCATTCAAACAACTTCACTCACAATAGGTTAACTGTATCCACCCCAACTTTGTTTGAATCAATATATCACTCTCACAATGATCATTTGGTGATACATTTCTGACAAGGTTAGTGTTACATAGAGATGTGATTATGTTACTGAATCAAACAAATTAGTCCTATCAAGGCGTTTAAGGCAGGGGGGGGGAGACTTTGGGATTTTAGCCTTTGCAGAACATTTGCATGCAAAGAAACCTTTAACAGTACAGGAAAGGGGAAAACCCCAAAAGCATAATGGGGCCTCTTTAAAGGTTGTATTAGTACTCGCTGCTACAGGCCCGTGAGTTTTGATGAAAAGGTTTTAATATCAAACTGTATTCTATTGTAATCCTTTTTTTCTTTGAATCAATGTTTATAGGGATGACACCCCTGTGAGTCATGTGGAAACCCCCCTGCATTTTCTCAGCAAAATGAAATTCCTTTCTCTTTCTGTTGTCTTGCAGATTGTCATCCCTTTCTTCAGCCTGCTCATAAAAGACCTCTACTTCCTCAACGAGGGATGTGCCAACAGGCTGAAGAGCGGACAGATCAATTTTGAGGTATACTGAAATTAAAATTCCCAAGAAGGGTTTCTCCCCCTCGTGAACACATGTTCTCCTTTTTATTCCTCCCACAACTGAATTGTCAGAAAACGTCACTATTTACTACACATGGCGACGGGTTTGTTGCTATTTATTTCCACTTCCCTAAAGAGTGTTAGAGAAAGAAGAAGTGAGACCTGTGTGTGTGAAGTGTGTTTCCATGGAACAAACACAGAACAATGACCAAATACTCAAGCGTTTCCAATGGTCTCACTGTTACACTGAAAAAGGCCCTGGGAAACTCTGCCGATTCCCTGTTAGGACTTTTACAGAGTACATAAGAACACAGTAAAGGAGCAGTATTCTGCTTTTTGGGGTTTTCCCTATCCCGTAGTGTGAAATATAGACTTTAGTGCACGTAAATGGTCTGCAAAGGCTAAGATCCCAAAGTTCCCTTCAGAGGGAGTTTCTCTCCCACACACTCCCCCCTACCTGAAATCCCTCCATTACTCTGTGACATCGGTATCACTCACGCTACTATTGGGTGAAACAGGGTGAAAAGAGGTGCTGCAGCTGTATGAAACAAATAAAACTCTTATTAAATATAATGAAACCTGAAACTGAGCATATAGGCCCCTCTTTTGCCCTTCAGAAACAACAGGCTTTATCCACAGTTAACTGGGAGTAGGCTATATACCTATGCTAACTGTATATTGCGTAGCAGAGAGCTATGAACATGTCGATTTTCTCTGAATGTTAACATGTATTTTTTTCTGGTTTTATATCAGAAATTCTGGGAACTCGCCAAACAAGTGAGTGAATTCATGGCCTGGAAGAAAGTGGAGTGTCCGTTTGAGAAAGATCGCAAGATCCTGCAGTACCTGCTGACTGCTCCAGTGTTCAATGAAGATGGTACGTTTATCAGTTAATTAATTATGTAGGAACTTCAAAAAAATCCTAACCCCACTTTTTTTAAGAAATAGTAAAATATGTTTTTAAATCCGGCTTTCACTTTCTAACAATATGACACAAGATGTAATCTCCATTGTAAGTATCTTTTAAAGGATTTCTGAGTATGAGTCATGCTAAAGTGCATAGGATTAACATTGTTTAGATGCTATTCATATTTATAAATGAAGGAGAAAAGAAGTGCAACTCCCGCAGTTTGTAATGACTACTGCAATGTAAATATAATAATTTGTGTGAAAATGTAGGGACATGTGGGACATCTAAGATCAGACTTTTAATTAGAAAATGCGGTAGTTTTTATATGATTAGTTATTACCCATCCTACATGAAGTGAACATCGGCTGCTACCGTTACCGTCAGTAAAAGTAGTGTATTGCTGTGGACTGACAAAGTGTTTCCAGTCATCAGAATGGCTTTTCTCCTGCTAAGGCTTGAATCCACTCCCACCTTGTTATCACCTCCTGGACTCAGCTCTGATGGTTTGGGTCTCCTCTAATCCACTTCAAAGTCGCGTGTCACTGACTCCGACTCTTCTCGCTGTCTTATTAGAGATAGACAGGAGTTCTGTCAAATCTTCTGACATTGAAGTGTACCGACCATAGGTGTAGTGCTGCAGGAGCGCACCAGGACCATGCTCGGGCACTATCCACTAAAATGCTAATGTTTCTTTATTTTTCTGGTTTCAGCATTGTATGTGGCATCCTACGAGAGCGAAGGTCCTGAGAACAACATGGAGAAGGACAGATGGAAGTCTCTGAGGTGTGCATTTACCCCCCTTGTCTATATCTTTACACACACACACACACACACACACACACACACACACACACACACACACACACACACACACACACACACACACACACACACACACACACACACACACACACACACACACACACACACACTCACCCGCAGGGCACCGCTGGGCACCGCAGTCTTTCAATCACGGCTGTCACCCCACGTCCCGTCCTGACCAGGCAGACCTAGAGGATGCAGGTCACACGGATGCTGACCCGCGCGCTATTCAAAAAATGCAACACACACACACACACACACACACACACACACACACACACACACACACACACACACACACACACATCATTCTTCTTTGTCACACCATCGCTTGCAAGTCCCATAAGTCATTTTCACACAATTACATCCCACGCACACACCGTACTCCCTTAATACACAGCTGTGTGTGTGTGTGTGTGTGTGTGTGTGTGTGTGTGTGTGTGTGTGTGTGTGTGTGTGTGTGTGTGTGTGAGATGGATGAGAGAAAATCAGCTTTGATCAGTTGTCTCTGACTCGTTGAAGAAAGCCCCAGAGAGCTGACGGAAGGACAATTCTTCCTCCTTCAGCATCACTCGCTGAAGTTTAATTGACACAGAGTATGAGGCGTTTATTTTTTGCCGCAGTGACAAAAAGGGTCGTCCAGCAATCATGAGATCTGTCCGGTGCATAACTGCCACTAAAGGCTTTATTTTTGTTAGCTGTGCAAACAATAAGTATGTGAATAGTTACTTTGTTACCGCCACATGGAGCCGAATCTTCTTACAGATGATACTGAGGCTTGCGTGTGCCAAAAATCTTCATTACGATTATTTTGGTGAAGAGTTGAAATTTAATTCATTCACATAAGACATTTTTGTGCATTTTGAAAGAACATTATGTTAGTTTATAAAGCAATTTTTGTATTGTTATTATTTAACTGATGATGTAAGAGGAGCTTTATTATTTACACAATATTATCATATCAACATATCCCTGTTTTTCTAACAATGGCAAAGGATTTATTTTCTTTATAATGGTTCTTGAACAAACTATCTTGTCAGTTTCTACAAGTTTCTATGAAAAATAACCAGCTTTAAAAAAAGACAACAGCATTTTGAGATATAGATTTTCACAACAGAATATAGCAGCCAAATTCACAAAGAAATATGTTTTTTGGGCACTTTATCTTGAGCCTACTTCTCAATATTTATATGGAAGAAGTCTGTAGTACATGGAATTCAGGATATAATGCTACAGGTGGCCAAAAACGCATGTATGCGATATACGACTCAGATCTGCTGGAAAAGTTCATAGGTGGCAACAGTTTCTGGACCCAGAGCCTGAGCTTTGCCTCTGCTGCGACACGATCTGTGACTTTCCTCCAGTGAAAACAAAAAAACTGTTGCTGCTTTTTAACATCGCAATTTCTTAATTATTATGGCTGGAGAGGGAAAAGTGAAAAATTGGGTTGTCCATTGAATGTAATATGAGGGAAAAGGTAAAAAAAAGAATTGTTAACTCAACATTTTAATATAATCTAATTTATCAATGAGCTAACAAAGCAAAACATTTTTTTTAAATGATATTGTGTATTGTCAGCTATTTCTTGGCTTTTTCTGTGTTGGAATTTAATATATTACATCAACCAATTGTTTACTTTTAAGATTTTTTTTTTTTTAAGGAACAGTAGGAAAATGCTCAGAGGATATACCATATATCATCTGAGCATTGTCTATTTTTTATTACAATGTTGTGTACAAAGTCTTGCAATGTAAGACATTTATCAAAATAAAATATGTCAAAAATCATTATTAAACTGCGGCTGTAAAGACAATTCTTCTTGTTTGCATCAAAGGATACACCAGAGACTAACAGCTGTTTCTCTTTATCTCCACAGATCCACTCTGCTAAGCAGGGTCTAAACTGGAGAAAAAAAACAAGACAAATGAGCCGTTGTCTAAACCAAGTATCCCTATGTTATAAGGGAACCGACAATCTCTACTTTGGCTGGCAAGGATCTTTTGTGTTCCCCCCCAGCTTCATATTTCTATCCAGCTCCGCCTTTCCTTACCCTCTTGCTATTTGTGCTGTTTTTTCCTCTCTTTGTATGACTTTATATTCTTTTTTTAAAAAGAGAAATGCTACAAACCTTCCCATTAAATGCCAAAGGGTGCCAAGGTTTCTTGTCTGAAGCCTTTCGCCCTGAAAGACCTTCTCTGAGCGTAAAGGAGTCGATGGGGTCGTTTGTTCCCCCCGCCAGTTTTCAACCTGTTTTTTTCCACTGAAGCTACATAGTTAGCCGCTGGTTGGCTAACTCAACGGAAAAGCTACTCGCACTGGTTCCATAAGCCAGCATCCTTTGTACGAACTGAAAACTTACCCACATCACTGTTTATGATTAAGCTAGCTATTATTTGTAGTTTTATTTTGTCTACTTCCTTTTGTACATTACCTGAGTTACATTACATTTATCTTGCTTCATGTTTCTAAGGAGCTTGTTGTATGTGTAAGATTGAATGCACTGGTTGCATTTAAAAGTTGTAACTGATGTTTTTTTGTTTGCGTAGTATACATTTTGTGATTTCCTTATGCAGGAAGCAACATTTCCTTCCTTTATCTTGAACACAGAGGCATCAGTAAACTTCAACCAATGTGTTTTTTGTACGGGCAAACAGCATAAAAAAAAACCCTTCCACTTGGGGCTGGGCGATATGAAGAAAAATCATATATGCAACACTTTTTTAGCAAATTGGGTGTAGGTTGACCTATGAGCTATGAGTCTGGTAAATTCGGAAAATGCATAACTCTAATGTGGTACAGCCTTAAAAACCAAGAAAAGTCAACACTTATGATATTAAGATACTAAAAATCTAAGAATATATCTTGGCTGATATCATAATCAAAATAATACAGATAAATTGCCCAGCCCTACTTGGGTTTTTAGTTGCTGTTGGACCCTCGGACAAAGACTTTCTTGGAAGTGTACTAAGGCCTTAAGTAGTGAGCTTAAATGGATGGTGTGATGATAGTGTGTTTCCTGTTGTTCCAGTGTTAAAAAAGCCCCACTGCTGCTGGGAGGATAAGCTGGGCAGACTACTACCATTCTTACCTTCTCTTTTGTTCCTGCTCCATTGTAAAACATGAGTGTGTGGTTGTGCTGCCCCCTGTTGGTTCAGTCCGAAAAGTGAATGGATTTTTGTGGTCGAATAATGTGAACCAAGAATTTCTGTTTGAACCCTACACATTCTAAATAATATCTTTTTATTTTTTGATATTGTTAAAATGTAGACTTTTCTCCATATTTGTTTTTATTTATAAATCTATTTGTGTAGTCACACTATGTCCTCATGCCAATATTTACTATTATTTTATTGTTATTTAATTTTGCATTGGTTACATAACATGCCGTAGTTCTCAGATGTTGGTTGAACTATTATTTTTATATAAACGTTTGTATGAGATAATTATTTTTCAAGGTACTGGCTCAGAGTATGAAGTTAAATGACGGATGTCTGCATTGCCTTGACTGCTCCTCCCTCAGCACAGAAGGCTGTTTGTTGTGTACATATTAGTTTTTCCACCCTGCTTTCATTCATTTGTATTTGGACTGTACAAAATGGATTACAGGATGATGAATGAATTAGTAGTGTTCAGAAGAAGAAAGTTAATAAAAGAATGAGTAGTTATATTTATGCCGCATTCGTCTCATTAGTGCATAAAAAAGTGACAGGTCACACCTCCCCCAATTATGCAAATGAGCTAAGTCCCGCCTCCCCTTTGTTCGAGGTGTGAGATCTCAAGTAGGTGTGATATCCCAAGTAGGTGTGAGATCCGTCGATAGGAGGGGGGGGTGATGTGTATTCACAGGTGTGAAAAGCCCCCACTGTTGCGCCTTATGGTGTATAATAAAAAATGTTTCAATCACATTAGTATGCATAAAAAGTGACAGGTGGGCCCGCCCCCAAGTCTATTAAAACAAAATGCCGCTTCCATCACATTAGTATGTATAAAAGTGACAGAAGGGCCCGCCCCAATTATGTGATGTCAGAAGACCGAAGGGGTGGAGTGAGATAAAAAAAAAAAGAACCCCGTGCAGATAAAAAAGCCAGTCATTTCCAATCATCAAGTCATCTTTCCAAAAAGAAAAAATGGCCAAGAGACGCCTCGATATGGGTTTAATCAGCGAGACGCCTGTGACAACTTACCGCCATCCGTCCGGAGCGCCAATCAAGAAACGGATGCAGTATCTGTGCCGGGTTCAAACACCTCCGGTCGAAGATCTTGAAGAGAAATGGCTTCTGGAAAATGAACATATTTGGGGATACGTATTCAACTATATGGCGAATGAACTGCATTTCTACAATCTGAAGAATGGAGAAACGTATGGACCCCACAGTGTTAAAGCGACGTTGACCTCAACAGATTGGGCTGTGTTAACTCTGGTGTCTTCCAGAGATCTCCACGCAACCATTGTATCGGAAGAAGTAGTGCATCAAGAAAACACTGTGAAACCAGCGGTGTACAAGATATGTGCAACAAAAAGCAAAGAAACGCAAACAAAAAGCGAGATCAAAGAAGAGTTTTCACCGTTACCCCTCAATGTGGAGGAAGAAGAAGGAAATATCCCCCCGCCGCCAGAAGTGAAAAGAGTCCTGACAAGCACCGTCTGGGAAACTAAAAGCGGACCATCTGGGCGATGGTATTACCGCGCAAGCCGTTTGCTGACGCAGGGGGGAGGGGTTCTCTCTAAAAGGGGAGGGGTTCTCTCTAAAACACAGTGTCCTGCCATCTCTCTCTGTTTCTGCTGATGTGTAAAATATACAAAATAACGTTTTATATACTTACTCTCTTGTTAAAAGGTGATGAAGTTTGTAGCGTAAGCCAGCCATCAGTGTTCTAGTTTTAAGGATCGAAGATTAGACCGGTTCAACCAATCATGGACATGACGTGGATCTGCGTACAGAGTTATCCCTTCAGGGAAACCCTTCTCCACAAAGTAAAGTGTCCTAGGTGGAACTAAGAACAACACGACCCGACTTCCCTTCCCCTGCCCCCTCCTTTTAAGTCTCCTACTTCCTCGTCCTTTTTATTGAACAAAACATTTTGCCCGTCGTGCAAGTCAAAGTTCCTTTTTCTACTGTGGCACAAATAACGTACTGTACGTTGTTATAGAACTTCGGGATGTTGGTTTTTTTTTTTTTTTAACACAATTTTTATACCGTTTTTCAACATTATAACATATTACATAACAAAGTAGCTTTTGTCACATTTTAGTGTTTTGAACGGAAAATCCTCAGCGTCAGGAAAAATGTTTTTAAGACAAAACAATTCTCATGTTTTTTTGTATATTTGTAGCGTTTTAATAAGGGTTTTTGTTTGACCCTTACCCCTGTTAGCTATTGTATAAAATTTACAATTTACAAGAAAGTCCCGTGGCATCACGTGGTAACTACTTGTGAAATTTTGTTATGATATTACTGATCTTCACATGTTACTCGGCCTAAAATCGAGACTCGATTAAAAGGTAGATATCACGGGGCAGTGTATGTCGTATATTCTTGTACTGTAAATATATTATATGTAATGTCGTTTTTATTTATGTACTATACGTCTTTTCTCGTACTTCGTCGTATAAGTTCTTACCATTGTCACCACCCATACTGACACGCGAAAGACAGTTTGTTGGACTATCGAGAGAACCTTGGTCGATAAAGATACCCAAAAGTCCACACAAAACCGTGTTCGTTTGCTAGTCAAACATTTTGTCCATAGTTACACCCTATCTTAGTATGTCACCTTCATACTGAAACGTCGTAACTGTCAATTCTTTTTCCAGATTAAACAAATTTACAACGTTCAACCTTAAAATCTACCATAACTATGAAAGACCTATCACAAAGAACTTTTCAGTTCAGCGCTCCAGGTTCATACTTGTGAGAGACTAAGTTCTATGAACGTGACCCTCTGATCAAGATAAAGACGAGGTAAATTTGTTA